TTTAGTTAACAGATCATACTTTATCAATTCCTGTACACAACTAGTGGTACAAAAATGCATGATAGTAACTAAAAGTCCTTGAAGTTAATTGTGCTGTTCATATTTTCTTTTGTGAAAATGCAGGATTGTTTAAATGGCTGAGACAAAAAAATGAATTCCAATTCTTTGAGTGCCTTATATTGCAGCATTAAAAGCAATACTTTAAATAAACAAGCAAACATCTAAACACAAAACAACATCAAGGGATTTTTTTAAAAACTTCTGATATTTAAATGACCTCCCCCCTTTCAAGTGGAATTTCTGCTTTAATTCATTGAGAAACCACTTTATTGGCACTTGGGAGCCTTCTTCTCCCCCTCACCCCTCCTCCTGCCCCAAAGGACTCCATCTATCTTGGGGACTGGTAAATCTCTAAAGGATCAAAGCTCTAGTGGATTTGGATAAAAACCCAAGAGCCTGAAGGCTTAAGCAAAGTTTATCTATATAGAGTATGCCCAAAAAACCGAGATGAGAGTCTTAGAAGAGCTGACTTTCTCATGAGATTTTTGAGACTTCCTCTGTCTGGTTGTGCCAGAAATACTGTGAGAATATCCATTCTCATAGCATTTGTCACTTACAGGTCCTGTCCCAGCTGGAATTTAAAAGTATAATGGTGCATGAAATAGTATATGCCTTTTATGAAGTCTATTTATTACCAAAAATGGCAATTAAGTAATCACTTCTTTTTTTTTTTTTCACTTACGTAGTAAAGTAAAACAAAAATAAAGAAGGTAATGAAGGTAACATCTACCATTCATGTAATAACGTTCCTAAATGCCTCAGAAATTTTTAATTTTTTTATTGTTGACATGTATATTCCAGAGAGGTGGTGAAAAGAAATAGTGTTATTGTGTCTATAAAAAGAGAAATTGATTAATATAATACTGGAGGGAATTTTCACTACTTCTAAGACTTCGTATACTGTAGGTTTCTTATTATTCCTTTTGTGTAAGAGACTTCAGGTGTGATGAATCATCTTAGGTTGGAAATTTAGTCTTGTTATAAAACCAAATTAGCAATCTAGGTATCTTTATCTGTTTTCAGTGAATTAAATCCCTCAAGGGTTCCATAAGAGAGAGATGGTCAGTCTCTTCCCTTGTCATTTACAGCCTCCTGAAAACCTACTGGAGGGTCATCTGTGAGTTGGTTGTGACTTGACAGCAGTGAATTGATTTGCTGAAAATGGAATAAGCATGTTTATGGATTAGAAGAGTTCCATTAAAAATTACTTTATATTGGTTTGCATGCAAAATTCATATACATTATGTTTTGTTTATGTGTATTTTGTCTCATATTCCTCTGTTCGTACTGTGTTTCATAGTATCATTCCCATGCACTGAAGATTTCATGTTTTAAGATGGTAAAAAGAAAAACCCAAACCTACTACCATTGAGTCATTTCCTACTCATGATGACATTCTTATCAGTTAATAATGCTGTAAATCTTTATGGGAGGAAAGTCTCTCATGTCTTCTGAGGAGCGACTGATGGAGAAGAACATGCGCCTTCTGACAGCTTGCTCTGTATGTTTTGCTCTCCTTGTGAGGATCATGTTGGCTGTACTTTCTTTAAGACAGATTTGTTCTTCTGATAGTCCATGGTTTATTCAATATTCTGCCAATACACAATTCAAAGGTATTGCTGCTACTTCACCTTTGTTACCCATAGCCCTACTTTCATATGAAAAGGAAGCAGTTGAAAAAACTACTCTCTATGGCTTGGATGAGGCACATCTTAAACTGACATACTTGTCCTTTAGCACTTTGGGAGGCCTAGACAGCAGATTTGTCCAGGGCTACACATCTTTTGATTCTTGTTGCTATCATGAGTATACATTGGTAGCCCAAGGAAAATATAATCCTTGACAACTTCTATCACTTTTCTGTTTATCATGATGTTGCCTGTTGTTCCAGTGGTGAGGAATTTTGTTTACCTGATGTTGATGTATAATCTACATTAAAAATCTTTTATCATCTTCAGTAAGTGCTTTAAATTTTGACTCTCCACAAGCAAGGTTGTTTCAACTAATCTTCTTCCAATCCTCATGCCACATTCCTTCTTCATCCAGGCCAACTTCTTGAACAATTTGCTCAGCATAAAGGTTGAGTAGTTGATTTTTTTAAACCATGCAGTTTCTCCTTATTTTGTTTAAACAACTGCTTCTTGATCTGTGTGCACGTTTCACATGAGCACAATTATGTGTTCTGAAATTATCATTCTTCTCAGAGTTACCCATAATTTATTATGATTCACGTGGCCAATTTACCTACAGAGTCACTGCAATTTCAGCAGACTTCTTAATGGAAATTGACAAGATATAGGTAAAAGCAATACGTTTTGTTGTGTACTGTGTCTCATTGAAGGCAGGCAAAAAACTACAGTGATTTTCTTTAGGGAATAATAAACCCCCCAAAATTAGTTTATTAAGATTTTCTGTTTGTTTCTTTACACTTCCATGGGATAAAAGATCCCTAGACTAATATAATAGGAATATGAATTTTTAAAGCCTTGTCTTCAAAAATTTTTCCAAGTTTTTGGCTAAGAGTGCATGTGATTTCAGAAGGTTGGTTAGGAACCTGATTTCCAATGTCACCTTTATTTGCTTGGCTGGGAATGAAGTCAACACTTTGGAATATTATGGAAATGCAATGAAATGAAAGTTTTTCTTTCCCTGTGGTTTGTATCTGAAAAGCACTTTGTTGCTGCGGTAATGAGGCTAGCTTTTGTCTTTATATTTCAAACCATTCTGTCCCTGAGATTTGTTGTTTATTTTCATTTCATAGCTGTAGATTGGAAGGTGGTGACAATGCAGCACATTTCCAAGTGGATGTATTTGTCCCAGAAAATAGTATTTTCCCTTTATAATGTTCTAATCTTTGTTCTATGAGTGGTTGTAAGTTAGTTCTATTCATTATAAACAGGCAGTACTGATTAGCTAAGAATTTCCAATAAAAAGTAACTGAAAATTTAGAAATTTGTCATTAGCTAAGCCTAGCTGTTAAAATGAAAGAAAATTTCAGTGGCCATTGTCTTGTTACAGGCTTCAGTTATTACAGTATTGAAGCAGTAGATATTATGTTGTTGCTTTGTACCATCAAGTCACAAATGACCCAGAGCCAACCCTCCAGCTGTTTTTCAAAGACATTAAATCGCCCATCTTTCTCCTATGGAGCAGCTTACAGATTCAAACCACATACCTTTGTGTTGGCAGCACAATTACTTGCTACTAAGCACCATAGCTTCTTACAGACATTGTAGGTTGTATATTTAGAGCACTAGGCTAAAAACAAGTAGGAAAATTCTTAAACTTCTGTCTAGAAGGTTGTGGCAGACCTCATTTAAACTAGAGATTTTTGTTAAGTTGGTTTTGGTTTGTGTCCATTATTAATGTTAAACTGACTGACAGGTAAAGTAGAACTGCTCCACAGAGTTTTCTTGGCTGCCATCTTTATAGAAGCAGATCACTAAGCCTTTTTTCTATGGTGTTACTAAGGGAATCTGAGCTCCTGTGTTTTATTTTTAATGTAAATTGAGCCACTCATGGACCTCATGAGCCATCACAACAAGTGTATGTCCATTATTAGGTTTTCAAATAGCATTTGACTAATTTTTTCCTCCTTTACTAATAAAACCTCTCCAGTTATTATAAATGTAAATATAATATATATAAAAAGAAAATCTAATAAAAATCATAGTAGAAAATTTTGTGATCTTGAATTAAGTAAATAATTATACAATTCAACACCAGAAGTATAAAAGAAATTAATATAGTACTTCATTAAAAAAAACAAAAAGACTTTATAAAACAAAAAAAACCAAGAAGCAAGCTGAAAGAAAATGTTCATAAATCATACATTTAATCACTTATATAAAAATTACTCTCTAAGATCCAGAAATAAACTCTTGTACTTTTTATTTTTAAACCCCCCAAACAACAAACCTTCATAGCCATTGACTCAGAACTGCTAGGTGACCCTCCCGCAAGTTTTCCAAGGTTGTAAACTGAAAAGGAGAGAAGATTGCCAGTCTTTTCCAGCAGAGCAGCTGGTGGATTCAAACCACCTGCCTTTTAGTTGGCAGTGCAACTCTTTACCATCAGGCCACCAGAGCTGCTTTTACATTTTTGTCAGTTGATTTTTAATTAAACTGCCAGAACAATCCTGTGGGGGAAAACAGTTTTTTCAACAAATGGTGCTAGGACAACTGAATATCCAACATTGATGTTTGAACACCTAGGATCCTCATACTATCTACAAAAAATTTAATTTAAATAGATGAGGGAACTAAGTATAAGATCTAAAGCTACAATACTGTTAAAAGAAAAATTAGGCCTAAATCTTTGTGATTTTGGGCTACACAGCATGTTCTTAGATATGACAGCCAAAAAGCACAAGCAACAAAAGAAAAATCAATTATACTTGCTCAGAACTGAAAACTTTAGAAATTTTGCTTCAAAGGGTACTGTCAAGAAAGTGGAAAGACAACCCACAGAATAAGAGAATATATTTGCAAATCATGTATATGACTTTTTGTTCATTTTCATCTTGTGTCTCATGCTTAGACTCTAATGAGGTCCTTCTGCCCTCGAAGTGTCACATGTGGCTGCCATATTTTCTTCCCTACTTAATCTTAAGACCCAATACTCTTCGATACTAATTTAGACCTTCCAATTGTACTTTCTCTTACTTTGTTCATTGACAACTATCTGATTATAATTAAATGGTAAATTATTTGTATAATTATTTAACATCTACCTGTATTCTGTTCTCTTATCCCCAAATACTATTTATAATTGAGCCATACTTGGTGTAATCAAAATCCTTTTATTTCTTACTATCCATATAATTATCCTGGAATCAACTTTAGTTACCGTACTTTGAATAGTTAGTGAAAGCTTCTATCATTGCAATGCTTTCAGAGATAGGAAAGCATCTTTTGATAGTTTTATTTGTCTTTTCATAGGGAAGCTGAACAGCCAGGATTCCTACAACAATTTTACCAACAACAACCCTGGCAACCCTCGACTCTCTCCTCTCCCCAGCTTGATGGTAGTGATGCCTCTCGCACAAATCAAGCAGCCGATGACATTGGGGACCATCACCAAACGAACAGGGTAAGGCCACAGGCTTGAAACATTTTAATAGCTATTTCAGTGGGTTAAATGCATAAAAATAAAACACAACGTTTTCTCTGTTTGGCTTTGATTATGTTCTTTATTTCCAGCCCACAAGAGACTTTTATTGCAGCAGATTGAGTACAGAGTTACAGAACTTGAATAAACATACTCTCACACAACCATGCACACACACATTCAATAGAAAAAAGAAAGCAGTGACAAGTTGTGAAAACTGGTACTGGCTAATACAGACCAGATCCATGCCCTCAGTTTTATACTTAATGCTGGTGGCTTTGCTTTCAAGTACTGTTTCATTTTCTTGTGCTTGAAGACATGATCTGGTTTCATGATGATTACCAAATTTTCTCTCATACAAATACTAATGAGAGCATTTTAGATGAGGGCTATGTTGTCAGTGCCTTTTAACAAATCACAGTATTGATACAGTAATATTATGAGTAGTGTTTAAATCTAAAGTAAAAAATTGACTGGTTAAAAATTGATTAGTCGAAATTGGTCATTAACTCCCTTGATTTTTAAAAGGCTTATTTTAGCTATTTAAAAATGTTCTATCTGCTAAGATTATAAAATTATAATTTCTTTGGTATCTTTGAAATCCTTTTTGTGAGGAGAAATATGCCTCTTAGAAATGAGGCCTTTGAGCTCCAGATTTCACTTTTAGATAGAAGCTGGCCTTTTCCTTTGCTAAGGTAGAGGGATGTATAGCTATAAAAGTTACCCTATCTCTGTATAATGAAAAATTGAATTTATGGCCTATTAGGAAGAAAGAAGAGTTACTGAAGCAGGGAATATAGTACCTAGGTTCCAAATAAAACATTTTATGGAACAGATAATTTGGTTTGTATACATTTTAATTGATTTTAGATTTTTTTATTTTGTGTTCAGAAGAAGTTTAATTTTAAATTAAATTTTTTACTTCCTTTTCTATTTTAATTTCTTTATTTTAAATAAGAAAACAGGAGTGACTGTGTAATGTAGCATTTGTTTTTAAGATTAGCTCATTGTTTCTTTGTATGACATTAAATTCCTGGAATGTAGAATCAAATAAAAAAATGGAGCTAAGCTTTGAATCATAATTTTTAAATTATTTTTCCACTCTGAATTCAGACTACACAATTCTGGTGTGTGTTTTTTTAATACACAAAAGCATAATTGTACCTTCATTATTCCACTAAGCATCATACAATTTTGCAAAGTTCTAAGGAATTTTATATTGTCTTTCCTGAATTTATTGGAATTAATATTCCAAATTGTTTTACAGTTTAATTTTGCTTCTAGAGTGATGAGATTATGATACAGAATTTGAAAGATTACTGGTGACTTTAAGGCATATTCTGATGTTTTGTTTCTGGGGTTTTATATTGTTTTATGAAACACAAGAAGTATATTGTTGTTGTTGTTATGTGCCATCGAGTCGCTTGCCCTATGTAGAACAGCCCTATGTAGAACAGCCCTAAACCCTGCTCTATCCTGTGCTAATCTCACTGCCTCTGACACACCCATCCTGATAACCCCAGTCACTGAATCAATCCACCTCATAGAGGGTTTTACCCTTCTGCGCTGTCCCTCCACCCTCCCAAGCATGATGTCCCTCTCCAAGGACCTCTCCTTCCTTACAACATGTCCAAAGTATGTCAGACTTCAGAATCCTTGCCTCCAAGGAGCAGCCTGGAGTTTAACCCTCTCTAGGATGAATCTGTTTTTCTTGGCAGTCCAGGGTACATTCAATACTCTTCTTCAGCACCACAGCTCAAAGGCATCAATTCTCTTTTCTATCCTCCTTAGTCATTGTCCAACTCTCTGATGCCTAACAAGTGATTGCAAACACCATGGCCTGTATCAGATGCACCTTAGTTTCCAGAGTGACACCATTGTACATACTATGTATGTACCAGAAGTGTAGTGTTTATAAAAATGTAGCTATCATTCTAATATGTTACTCACAATATATTTCTAAGGTGTGACTAGAGTTTAATGAATAAAATGGTATGATGTTAGAATTTGAAAAAAAATGTTTAGACATGAGAAATGAATCTAAAAGCAGATGAAATGAAATTGGTTATGAGTTGATAATTATTAAGGCTAGATGATGTCTGTATGGAGTTTTATTATTTATTTTAAAGTTTCTGGAATAAAAATAAAAAGTCCTTTTTCTCTTTCCCCTTCTCCCCTACTCCTTCTTCTCCATTAGAACCCCTTGCGGTTGAGTTAATTCCAACTTGTGGAGCTCCTTCAGCAGCTTCCCAAGGCTACTCATTTTAGTGGGAAGAAACTACCTTTCTTTCTTACAGCACCTGATAGATTTGGTAACCTTTTGGTTAGCTGCAGAACACCTTGACATCACACCACCAAAGCTCGCTCACATTAATTAAGCTGCGTAGACACTATTGAGCATCTTGCATGTTTCCTTGTCTTTTTAAAAGTTGCTCATGAGTCTCTCCTCTGCACCAGATTTCTACTCCACTAAAGATTTATAGCCTTGAGAATCATATGGGTCAATTCAGTTCAGCCCTTCAGGGGCACTGTAGGTCAGAATCAACTCAAGAGCAGTGAGGTTCATTTTGCTTATACTGAGCTCACTCTTTTAGGAACACATTGATAATTGCTTATTAATAAAGTGCTATGATTTCTTTATTTGCTTTAAATTAATATTTGTGTAAAACAAATGTTTTATATTGTTGACTAGGTATTGTAGTTGAGTTCTCAAGCTATTTTATAAGTTTGCAAATTCCTTTAAACATGTCTTGCATTGCTGTACTTAGAGGCTAATTCATATTTGCCCACAGTCAATATTTTATTTTTAATTTTTATATAATTTTAGATTTAAAAAGAGTTGCAAAATAACTAAATGATTTCCTGTATACCCAGATTCCCAGACTTTTTAAATATTTGCTTTATCATTCTTGCATTCTGCACATGTGCACACACACATATCTTGATCTTTTCCCTAAGTTATTTGAGAGGCAACCACAGCTTTCTGGATCTCTACATACTTCTATGTTTGATTCCAATGACAAAGACATTCTTTCCCCTAACTATGATGTAAGAATAAAAAGAAAAATCTGGAAACTACATTTTTAATGGAATGATTGTTTATGATGATTTTCTACATTTAAGAAATCTTTGTTTTTGTTACTGTTATGTGCTGTTGAGTCATCTACAACTCATAGTGACTTTATAAGCAAAAGATCTGAACTGTGCTCTATGCTGTGGTCTACCCTCATGATCTCTCACATTGTTATAGTCACTGTATTAATTAATCTGTCTGATTGAGGGTCTTCCCCTCTTTCTGTTTCTGACCCTCCACTTTTCCCACCGTGGTATCATTTTCCAAAGACTGATCATTCCTGACAGCATGTCCAAAGTGTGTGAGATGATGTTTCACCATCCTTACCTCTGAAGAGCACCATATTTGTACTTCCTTTATCTTAGACGGACAGGTCATAGGGACTCAGAGATTACTTCACCTTTTATTATTTTGTTTTCTTTCCTATTAAATGACCTTTAGATTTGTTGATGACATTGGTCCTGACTTATCCTTGCCCATTGCTATTGCTACTTTTAAGATTAATACTTAAAAGACACTTTCAGAAAGATTTTTCTTAAAATTATACCTAGAATTTGCTGTTGCGACTTTCTTGGTGGCCTAGTGGTAAAAAACTGCATTGCAAGCCCAAAGGCACATAGTTTAAATCCACTAGCAGCTCCAGAGGGGAAAGGGATGGACAAGTACTCTCTCTGAAAACCTATGGAGGGTCAGCTATGGATCAGTTTTGACTCGACGGTATTCAGTAACAACAACAACAACACAACCTAACTCACGCAAAAGTCTGATTATAGAGTATTTAGAATATAATTAGTGTTCATCTTATCCCAAAATTTATCACCTACGGTATAAATAAATAACTTTTCCCTTGTCAAAAGTAATTTGTTTTGCAAGAACAAAATAACCTGATTTTCATATTTTACATAGACCAAGTTATTGAAGCAAATTCAAGACGACATATAATTTCATCCTGTTGGATTTTAAGGGCCATAATTATTTGTAAACATTTTAATTACTGCTATTGTATTTACTGAGAAATTTGATTATCGTATAATGTTTAGTAGAATAATAGGCAATGAGATTTCTGTTTTCCAGGTCTCTTTTTATTCTCCTAGAAATTCTCACGTACTCTAACTTTTGTTTCCTACTGTTTGCTGTTTGTGTGTTTATTGATGTGAAATTTACCAAATGTAAAAATACCATTTTAAACTGAAAGTGCAGCCAGAATGTTGTTCATCTATTACTCCTCTAGTTTGAAAACTTTTGATCATTTAAAAAGAATACTCTTTATCTATTCAGCTGCAAATATTTTCAAAACAATCAATCAAGAAGCATTTCACATTAATTATGAAGAAACATAGAATTTACTCATTTATAGCCATGTACTTTCAGCATGTCTGATACTATACCTAGAAGAAGTGATGTACTTACTTAGGTTCAATCACCTTGTACTTTTTCTGTGTGGTAGATATTTCACATTTAGGCATATAGTGACCATAAAAAGCTAAATTTCTGCAGCAGAGATTTCTAAGGAATGTTTGGGATCCTATTTAAATGTTCAAAATGTGGAAGCTTCCACTCAAACCTTCAGGGGGCAAAACGTGTGCTTACCATATTTAACATCTGCTCTCTTATTTTTGGAAATGCATATCCCTGAAAGCCTGTGCAGTGTAACATTTAAACAAGACAGGGACCATCTGTCTCACTCTAAAACATGTAAGAGGACTACAAATGGCAATAGACAGATGTATTTACACCTTCTTGTTCAGGACCTTGAAGCAGCACTTGGAGGAAATAAGGCCTGTTTTGGCAACAGCTGTTGCTTAACCCAACAACAGTATACATGGATGAAGGCAGAAGGAAGTGCTAGAAATCATTTGACTCCAACAATCACTGCACATCATTCAAGTGAAATCCATTTTCTTTAGAC